CCTACTGACCAGTTAGTAATATAGATCATCGTATCATTTTGCCTGATTTTCTGTCCTTGCATTACGTTGGCTGGCTGGCTTGCGTACATTTACTCATCGTTCCAATTTATTTGGCCTGTACGGTCTTCGGAATTTTCAACTTGCTTTCTGGAAGCCGTGTGCTTCTCCCTATTGATGTTTTCTACGAATTTTGACACTTTTCAGTCTCACTGATTCTTTCTTTACTTCTCGAATTTTGTCTTCAAACGATTGTTGAAAGGATCGATCCCACCTCGTTTGTTCGCTGCTTAAGGACTGATATACTGGGCCTCCTTAAATTTGCGTTTCTTAATGCGACTGCATGGTTTGGTCTATTAGCAATGTTCACTTTGAATTCGAGTACTTCCTGGTCTGTATCGTATCATCCTGAAGCTGATTAATGTACAGTGTTTCTGATCGTTAGGTATTTCTTTGTTTGTCCAACGCTGCTGGCCTTGCACTGGGTTTCGTTCCCTTTGCTGTTTGCTGCTCCTGCACACTGCTATTTGCAGTATGCTTGAATGTCTGCAGTTTGTTCGCCCATCACCTCAAAAATGTTCATCATATATGACAGTGTGATTTCCGTCCCGTGATTTTGTCTGTGTGGCTAGGTTTGACTTTTCGAAGGCCCTTAGATGAAGGCCTCCGTGTAATAGTTTTCTTGAATGAGTTTTTATAAGCAAATTCTGTTCCCTTAAATTCCGTCACGGTTTGCAAGAACGATGTCCAGATTCACTCCATTCGCAAAATTATCAATGTTTTCTACAATGGTGTGGACTCTGGTTTGTTTTTGTTAACTTCTTGTTGATCCTACTTACATTTACGGATGTGACAGTTATTAAACAAGGGCATTTAAAAGTGTTTTCATGCCGATTTTTTTCTTCTTTCATCTAAGATTAGACGTCCTCAAGAGCTTTGGTCAGTATTCGAACAGTTTGCCCATAAAAGTACTGTTTGCACAAAGGATCCGTAAAATGGGATTTCAAGACAGTCGGTCATTCAACGACAGCTACTGTGGAGAATAAATCTCCGCGGGTGTGTCCAGTAAACTCACATCATATGTGGCCATTACTTCATCGCCTTCGTTTAGTTGGTCCCATATTTTATGTATTTTGACAAAGTAGCATGATCCATTGCTTAGAAAGCTCATTTTTTCGTAGATTTTATAAAACTGTACAGTGTACCAAACCGAGCATTGTTTTATGACTGGCCATACCGATCATCTTTCTTTTGGCGCATTTGGAAAGCATGGAAGTGCAAAATATGTGAGTCTGGTTCGTTTATCCTAATATTCTGGAGAATAAAATAGTCCCTATAGGTTTCTTATGAATTTGCTTGCACGTTTTGCAGTTTTTCTGTTTCTCAAGACGTCAATTAATCTTAATGACATTGGGCGAAACCTTTAGCTTGCTTATGCAGTCTCGAACGTTTAGGCATAATTCATCAGCCGACGGAATGACAGCGGATTTTTCAGTTTTTTCATTGTTTCCATCAGTTTGGCTGGGGAAGTATAAGGATTTGTTTCGTGTGATGACTCGCACGAAGGTTTGATTCGGTTTTCGCTGGGCCCCTTCATTTTATGTAATAAATTTACGGGCACTTTATAGCTGATTAGAAAGTTCAATTTTATAAGGCATTTGATACACAAGTTTGGTTGTTTGATGAAAACGTTCTGTTCTTCTTCCCTCATTTATTCATTAAAGGTATTCTTGACTCGTACCTTGTTGATGCTGCTACTGCTTTTGTTGGCGTTCTTCCCAATTTCGTACTTTCTGTCAGCTTTTGAGATTTGTCTGTCGTATTATTCCCTTTATCACATCAAAAGAGCGGAATATTAATTTCAATGTTACTTCATTAATATCAGGAAGGTCAGATTCTTGAGAGCAGCCTCAGAACGCCCGGGACTTACTGCTCTACCAAAAACTCAACTGGAAAGCCGGCAAGCAAGCATCCAGGCCAGTGAATCATTCAATCAATTCAGAAAAACCTGATGAGTGTTCCTGCGCGTCAAAGAAGCACGACCGAATGTGATCAGCGTTCAGACTTTTCATAGAGGCACGATCGATGTTGATGGGTGTACATTAACGCCTATCAAACAGCCTGGATCAATGTCAGAAAGTCCCCTTTAAATAGCGTGGGCCCGTTGTACCTTTGCTCTCGCACTAGTTTGTTCGGAATATAGCGGTTGTGTTCCCTTCTGTGAGTCTTTTTTCTCCGGCATTAGGCACTGGAGCGGGTCAGCAACAGATGGCACAGAGTGACGAATCAGCAGATATAACAATTACTATGTTCTATGGTCCCCAAACGTGTCTGTTCCAGATCACCGTCGATATTCTCTCGCTCTTATGTGATTAACTACACATCCACCGTTATTTCTAATAAGAACTTTGGCTCCTGCATGATCTGTCAGCTACAATGCGCGAAAGGCCATAGGATCGCAAACACTCACGGAGTTAACTTAGCCGTTTTGATGGAAATTTTATCCTATCAGTGAAAGCAGTGAAACCCTTCCAGGTTGGGGGTTGGAACATGTGGCGACTTGTTCCGTAGAAATGGTAATGCATTTCCATTTCCCGCCAAACACCACTGCCTTGCGGTTAGGCTTTTGAGCCAAAGGCTTTGGTTGAGGACCCTAATCGTCCTCCTGTCTAGGTGTGGGCACCCTGGCAGTATCCCAGCCCACGTACAACCATGAATCGCACATACACAAATACACTTATGCCACATCGGCCGTCGCGTGGTGTCATCAGCCGGGTCGCCTTACTTGCTGCATACAGCAGGGCGGCTAAGCGAAAACAGGCTACTGCTGACGCCTCCTTTCTTTCTCCTTCACATACTTTTTCTTCACCCTCTCCCCACCCCATTAATAACTCTCTCCTTGTAGGCCCAGCACTTAGGACTGATGACTCCGTTCGTCATGCATCGGTTCTGCGTACAGCATCTGCTCGTCACATGGTGCATCCTCAGGAATCTCGAAATCAGTCCTCAAGCCTCGACACCCACTATATCGGGCCGCGTTCAATGTCCGCACTCTGAAGGCAAGCAGGACAAAAGCTGCTCTTGCACTCACACTGGACTCCCTTGGCATTGATGTGTGCTGTGTCTCAGAGACGAGAATTCAAGATGCAAGCCCAGTGGTTGACCTAACCGCCCCGTCAGTCTCCACTCGCTTCCGGCTAAGCACCTCTGGTGATCCAGAGGGTGCTGTGGGGGGGTGGGGAGGGGGTGGTATTGTACTAAGTCACCA